ATTTTTATTTTCATTTTGAGGGTCATTACATGACTTGTAAAGTCTTTTTAATATATGTTTCAAAATTTTATATTTTAATATTAAACTTTATTAAAAATAAGTAGTTAAATTTTAATGATTAAAAAAAATTAACTCTAGATAATATTTAACAATACAACAATCATTTAAATATTTAATAATTTAAAAAATAAATATTGATAAATTATACGATAGATAAAAAAGAGATAGGAGAAGAAGAATAACAAATAAATGAGAAAGATAAATAAAAAAATAAAGAAAAAGAGATAAATAAGAAAGAGAAACACGAAAGACGAGAGAAAATGAGAGAGAAAAAAGAATATAAGATAAAAATAAATAGAAATAAAAAAAAAGGAAGAAGGAGAAGAAGAAGAAAAAGACAAATGAGATAAATGAATAAAAAGAAAAGGAGAAAATGATATAAAGAAGAAAAGAAGAGAAAGAAGAAAAAGAGGCAAGAGAAAAGATTTAAGTGAGAGAAAAAAGAAAGAAAGAGTATAAATAAAAGGAAAAAGTTATGTGAAATCTCAAAGATTTTGGTAAGATTATTTAATGATTGAATTACATGTAAAATATAAAAAGTCTCACAAAATTTAGTACTTAAAATAATCTATTAAAATCTCTATAATTTTTTTAATAGTATTAATGGACTTTGTTAAATAAAAAAAGCTTTAATTAAATACCATAAAATCTTGATTGACTCTTAAAAAATCTTAATTGTCTTAATTAAATATTACTAGATTTTGACATACTTTTAAAAAAAATTTATTATCTTTATTAAATATTACATAATTTTTTTATATTAATTTTTTTCAATTAAATATCATAAGACATTTTTATAATAAAAAATCTTTTAAAATTTATTAAAAGTCTAATCCAATAGACCTCCTAAATCTTTTAAATTTGAGGGGAAAAAATGTTTGTAATCGTTAAAAAAAATAGAGATACCCTGGGTGATGAATATCTACTCAAAGAAGTAAAAATAAAAAAAATAAAAAAAAAACCCTCAGATAATAGGTAGAGTACTATGAGAGACAACTTTATTTTGTAATTTGAGAGAAAAATGTACTTCTATCATATATTTGTTAAAGATCCAAGATATATCGTAAACCATTCTTTATTGGCTGAAACTGTTGAGACTCTCCTGTATATATTAAGAGAAAAATAGTATAATTCTTGTTTCAAAAGTGGATATGTTTTTATTATTGGATCCTTTAATTTTTCCTTACCTACATTTAGAATATTTTTCATAATGTTTAATATCATATATTAAACTTCACACACTTATTTTATTAATTTTATTCGGTGCCTATTTTGTCTGTAGACTGTGTACATGTTGTAGAGCTGCATTTTATTAAAATAGGTTCTATCAACTATCTCTAAGGAGCATCTGTAAAGGAGAGGCCATGTCCTATTAGAAAAAGTAAAAAAAAAAATACAATTCTCTGTTGTTATAAACTTATAATTCTTTGAAAAAGTAGCCTACTTTGAAATATGAACCAAAAGTTGAATATGACCTATCTTGGTGGTTGTTTAAAATCAGGTCGTGGAAGGTTGATTCACGTAGGTTTAGGTGTAGATTAGATAGTGATAAATTACTATTTTTAGGTAAATTGAGTATTAAAAAATATCCAAGAGATAGGTGCCGTGTCTAACACACATGCACGCATAATCGCATATATATATATAATTGGTTGACTTTAAATCACTTGTTGGTTGGGCTCAATCTTTGAAGAGTGGTGATGGTCCCTTTGCTTAATTGGTGGCAGATGAACCTGAAACTACCTCTCCCCATGTTCCACTAGTTTCTTAAGATGTCGTAATTGTTGATTTGTGATCTTCCAACTAATCTCATTAGGTGGGGGGTACCACTAGCTACACTCAACAACCATTCATTTCAACCAATTTTGTTGGAAACGGAATTCATATACTTAATGCTTGTGAATAGGGGTGGGCAAAAAAAACTAAACTGAACTGAACTGTACTGTATTATAAAAAACTAAACTGTTTGTAAAAAAACTGAACTGAACTGTTTAAAAAAAAAACTAAACTGAAGTGAACTGTTGGATAGTTAACTGTATTGAACTATAAAACTGAACTGAATTATAAAAATTGAACTATTTTTATAAAAGGATAAAAATTAAATGTGTCTAACATGTTATGTCTTAATGGATTAACTCGATAGTCTAATAACCAAAACTTTAAAAAAAAAAAAGTGATCCAAAAAAAATTGTATCAATTTTGTCGAATCTAACGGATCAATTGAGCTATGTTGGACTACTTATTTTTAGGCTTAAAATTCAATGAGTTTGTTTGACTTAATTATATATATATATTTTTTGAAAAATTTAAATAAAATGGAAAATAAAGTAATATTGGCAAATGTGTCTTATTTTGATAGATCAATGAGTCAAAATTGTTCAATTCAAAATATCATAACAGTTCAGTGCAGTTTAAACTGCAGTTCAGTTCAAGTTTTTATAGTATAGTTCAGTTCAGTTCAATGACACAAAAAAATAGTTCAGTTCAGTTAGTCTGAACTAATATTTAGTTTAGTTCAGTTCATAAGAACTATTTTTAAGTTCAGTATAGTTTTTATAAGTTCAGTTCAGTTCAGTTCATTTTGCCCACCCCTACTTGTGAATCAAAAACCTTTACACATGGAACTCATTCTTAAGAATCTAATTATTGCATAACTTTAATAACGAATGCGATGCAATTTAATAATTATAATAGATTATAAAATCATTGTAAAAATATTGATAAATTTCATTTAACTTCATCAAATTGACTTGTAAGCATTTATATATTTTAATTTGATTATATCATTTGTTAATATAACATTAGTTAAAATTTAAGCATATTTATCAAGAATAATAGAGAAAAATGAATTAAAATTTAACAAGTTGTTGGAGTGATAATATCAATACATCATTGTCACTAAATTGCTTCGGTTTAATTATAAATATAATAAATAATATTTTAAAAGGTGTTTATACCCAATTATGAAATCTCGCTTCCTAATGAAATAAAATTAAAGCGTGGTCCATTCTCTTTGCAACTGTGATTTGTTTCATAATTGAGAGTTATGACATTTTTTTCACATCATTCTCATACTTGTCACCATCTCCCATGTGGGTTTAATGAAAATGCATTATCCATCCTTATCATCTTTCTCCCTTTTCAATATGAAATCTTCTATACATTTGAGACTCATAATCACAACCTTTCTTATATCAACATATCTTATAACGTAATTAAGCATTAAATTGAAGGGATAACTCAAGTGGAGATGAAAATGATGGTCAACAATATAAATAGCTGTAGAAAGAAAATTGAGAGCAATTTGTTTGCTAGATAACTTCAATTTCTATCTGGATTTAAATTTGATGATAATAATTTTGTGGCATCATTAATTGTTTTAGCACTTTTCTTTTATGGTAGCATGCTATGTTATTTTGTGTAGTGGACAACAATAGCATGCGTTCAAATTAAAAAAAGAGATTTTCTATGTCAAAATTATGTGAAATTTTTTTTAAATGGTGGGTAACCCTTTTTAATGATCTAGGATTAACAAGAATTAATTTTTTTTTCTCAATATAACCCCCTCACGTTTTTTGTGCATGTATCAATGGTGGGTAACTAATTTATAATGGATCTAGATGACTTTGATACCATTTTAGAATAGTAAATTTGAGCTTAACTCAATTCTACAAAATTGGCTTCTAAAATGAGAGTTATTTTTCACTTATATATTCTTGAATTGCCTAATTTTTATTCGATGTGAGACTTATTTTTTTTTTCAATACTAAACTATATATATTGTTATCGACAATTTGTCGCACACTTGTTATTAAAAAATGGGTTTATGATTTTTATTGAAATATTTATCCACCCTATTTATATTAATGTATTTTTCATGTTTGTAAAATTCATGTGCATGAATGAATTGTTGTAGCAATAGTCTAAGTTTTGAATTTCATGTAGCTAGCTGAATAAGTCTTAGTCCTTAGGATAAGAGAGAGAGAGGGGTAATAAAAAAATTAACATTTTTTTCATTCGCACTAAACCCTAAACTCTAAACACAGAATATTGTTAAGAGCATGTTTGTTTTATAGTTGAGAAGTCTCAAACATACGTTTAATCCAAAGTTACAAGCTCATAGATTCAGTTGAACGGGCATTGAAAAGTGTGCTGATGATAAAACAAACACACCTTACACCCTCTGAAAAACGTTCCAAATATTAAAAAATTATTATTTTTGAATAAATTTATTATAAAATAATTATTTATAATAAATTTGTTAAAAAATAAATTTTTAATTATTTGAACAATTTTTCTGCCTCAATTTTCGGAGGATACAACATTTTCCTTAATAAATACTTCACATGCTATTCCTAGGTATTTAGTTCTATTATGTAGCAATAATTTTTTTACCCTCTTCTAACGAGATATTCTTAACAAGTGTGTCGCATCTAATAATCTTTGTATCTTGCACAGATTAAAATAGCTAAATCTTAAAGTCATACTGACATAAAAAAATTGTTTATTATTATTTCTCATTTCATTATACAGCCAGCTCTAGGTAAAGATTGAAGATAGAATAATGCAACATGGCTGACATTAAATGTATCACAATAGCAGCCTTTTGCAAAACAAAATCTTTATTTTATGATAAGACAAACTTAGATACACTTTTGATAAATAGATAATATGATTATAAAAAATAAATAAATAAATGGATGTCAAAAAATGATCCTTTATTCCATCTCATAATACACGTTGTGTAGAAAGAAAAAATAAGTAACATGATACGATAAGTGTTATTTTAATTTTTAATATATCATTAATTATTATTACTATTTGTATTTATATTTCTAATAATATTTATTTAGACATTTAGAAAACAAAAAAGAAATAAATTTGTAAAATTTAGAATAATGTTTTTATTTGTGGGGTGTTTGAATGATAAATCCATTTACATTATGATGAAGGGGAGTTGGTGGGTGAAATTGTAAGAATAGGTGGCAAGTAGAAGATGCAGGCCCAACCACAGTACAAGAAATTCAATTTTTTTGCCCTTTCCATAGTCTCTTTCTTTTCTAATTTCTTCTTCAACTTGTACATGCACATCCCAATCAACACATGAATCATTAGGGTTTATCCTCCAGCAGCTATGAGTGCCTCCAGGTTCATCAAGTGTGTCACAGTCGGTGACGGTGCCGTCGGCAAGACTTGCATGCTCATCTCCTACACTAGCAACACTTTCCCTTCCGTTAGTGCTTCTTTTCTTTCTTCTCTAACACACCTTCACTTTTTATGTGTCTTTTCTTCTTCCTAGGGTTCTTAGAGACCCTTGAATTGGGCTTATTTCTTATTACTTGGCTGAAAAAGAGGGAAAACAAAATGCTGTGCTTGAATCCTCGCTCTTGGTTTCGTTTCTTAGATGCTGTCTTCTGCTGAAATGGCTATCTTAGGATTTGGGTTAAAATTGACTCAGAAATGGGGATGATTCCGGAATCCCTACCGTTAGTGCTTCTTTTCTTTCTTCTCTAACACACCTTCACTTTTTATGTGTCTTTTCTTCTTCCTAGGGTTCTTAGAGACCCTTGAATTGGGCTTATTTCTTATTACTTGGCTGAAAAAGAGGGAAAACAAAATGCTGTGCTTGAATCCTCGCTCTTGGTTTCGTTTCTTAGATGCTGTCTTCTGCTGAAATGGCTATCTTAGGATTTGGGTTAAAATTGACTCAGAAATGGGGATGATTCCGGAATGAAGTATTTGTGACATCTTATTCTTGTGTTTCTTTGTGATCCGCTGGCAACAGGACTATGTGCCGACTGTCTTTGACAATTTCAGTGCAAATGTAGTTGTGGATGGAAGCACTGTGAATCTTGGGTTGTGGGATACTGCTGGTAACTATAGTTTTCTGGTTATCTTTCATCCTTCTTGTGTTTTGGGAGTGTCTTGTCATTGTTTTGATGTTTTCAACTTATGGGACAGGCCAAGAAGATTACAATAGATTAAGACCCTTGAGCTATCGTGGAGCAGACGTATTCCTGCTTGCTTTCTCTCTCATAAGCAGGGCCAGCTATGAAAATGTTGCCAAAAAAGTAAGCTTGGTATTTTTATTTTACTTTTTTGTTTTGTCCCTCTTCTTGGACTGATTTTTTTTCCTTTACTTTTCCAGTGGATTCCTGAGTTGAGGCATTATGCCCCTGGTGTTCCAATTATTCTTGTTGGAACAAAACTTGGTTAGATTCTTGTTCCTTCATTACCTTCTCTAACTTTCTTTACACTGTTAACGTGCTCCTTATGTGGTAAATAACACTCAGCATAATAGTAGTCCCATGAAGTTGTGAAGTTTGTTCATCCAATGATGATAATGTTTGCCTTTTTATCATACTCATGTGTATTCCTCATTGTTTTATAGTTGGGGAAGTTACTTGTTTAATAAACCCAATCTCTAATTGCTTGCCTTCACCTATTTTCTATGATATGACGCCATTGCAGTTGCTTAATGGGTTGTAATTTGGTAATTGCAAGAATGATGTTCCTTCCTAAATTCCAAACCTCAGCCGTGACTCTAACCAATAATTGGTACAAAGTTTTCTTGAAGAGACTTGGTGTTTAATGTTTACCTCCTGTAAAACTAAAAAAGCGATGTAGTGGTTGTTCTCAGTGCTGTATGAGTGGTTACTGACAAAAGCTTGAGAAGTCTGGACTTTTGAAGTGTATTAGGGAGTGTAAGATGAAAGAAGAGTGCAAATAGTTAGTACACAAGCCCTTGGCTTCACGATTTATCAGAATTTCAATTTATCTATAGCTGAAGTAGAGCTTATGTTCTGAAATTTTTTCGGTTGGTAGTTATCAATGGGTTTCTTTTGGAATGTGTTTCTTCCTATAGATAGTTCGCTTAATAGTATCTTTTTGACAGTTCCATTATAAAGCTGCCATGATTAGTTTGCTTAGGCATTTTATGAGAATCAAATCTATGTCTTGTAGATCTTCGGGATGATAAGCAGTTCTTTCAAGACCATCCTGGTGCAGTGCCTATCACCACAGCACAGGTTCTTGCTATTTGCCAGTACTTCCTTTTTACATGCAATTATTGCTTTTGCTTTGTTTTTTTTCTTTTTCTTTTCCTAGTTTTTGGTTTAGCCTTTATTTGTTCACGATATGAACATGAGCTTACTTGATTGGTCAGTGATCTGATTTACTGTCTTTTCTGAAGGGTGAGGAACTGAGAAAGCTTATCAGTGCTCCAGTATACATTGAATGCAGTTCAAAAACACAACAGGTCCATATATGTTCTTTCAATCTTTAAAAGTTCTGAAACTTGAAGGAATTCATGACCTTAATGATGTGGCCTTTGAATACAGAATGTGAAGGCTGTTTTTGACGCGGCCATCAAGGGAGTTCTCCAGCCCCCAAAGCAGAAGAAAAAGAAGAGAAAGGGGCAAAAGGCCTGTTCCATTTTGTGATCTTCAGTTCTTAATATAGTAGTTCGTGGAGGATGACTTGACTGTAGTCTTGCGCCATTCTATATCTTATACTATTTCCTACCTAGATGAAGGAATCACCATGTCCAACTGACCACATCAAGGTTCGCTCATAAGCATCAAGCTATTTGTCTAATTCTCTCTGGCTGTAGGATCTGTAAAGTGATGATTTCAATATGTTTGGCGTGCACACAACACTTGCGTTTCTCTTGGCTGTTTACCTGTTGTATTGATTATTGAATAGCCATATCCAGCAGTGGACACGGGTTCTTCTATTCATGTTGTAATCTAATCTAGGAAGTGCTTGCATATGTGGCTTTGGATGTGAACTAAGTATATGTAATTAATTATGTTAGCTGCTTAACAGCTTGGATATAGTTTGGTTTGATTAAGGTTTAATTCTTCCGTTTATTTATTCAGGTGATTATGGTGTTAGAAGTTTCTAACCTGTAACTGTAAACCAAAGTCAGGTTGACTTGGTTTAACTTTGCATAAAATCTTGTGACAATTGCAGCCTGAGGCTTGTAAAACCGAATTCTAAAATGGAATCTCAACTGTTATGTAACGAAAAGAATATTTTGTAGCTGTCAACAACTTAGTGTCAGCACGGGAATATACACTATTTTTGAAGGATTATCAAAACAAGACCAAATTCATCTTTCATACCTCACAACTTTATCAGATACTCAACGTGTGGAGTGTGAGAGTCGTCAATCAAAGTGTGGATCTAATTTCTTCTTTTTGGACGTGGGTTGGCTGTGGTTGGGCGTCCAATAACGCGGTATCTTGTTTTGGCATCGATGTATTTCACTGGGGAAGTGGTACCTGAAGGCCAAAACGAAGAAAGATAAGGACTGCAAAAGTCAAAGAGGTGTTGGACTTGCTTAAATTACAAATAGTAAACTTAACTATATAATTAATTCTTGGTAGATTCAACATTTAACTTCGAAATAATATCCTAATGAGGAATCCTGTGGTTTTTTCATCGATGATTAGATGGACAGCAGGCAATTGTTAATTATACCACCATTGAAATCGGCTAAATACTTGTAATATGGCAAACACCTTTTTTTCATTCCTTCCATATCTAAAAGTTAATCTTATCTTCTTTTTCATAAGGAATATATACTGTGCCCACTTCCGTTGGTAAATGGAACACTTGAATCTGTTCAATGTCCTTCTCCAACCATTAAATAGCCTGCAACCTGCTTTGTTTCTCGTAGTGTTCTAATCATTTTTGGCTTTCTAATCATCCTGATTTTCTCTTCTACGAGTCTAAAATCACGTGAATGGCATCCAAGAGAATACTGAAAGAGCTCAAGGACTTACAGAGAGATCCACCAACTTCATGCAGTGCAGGTAAGGAGGTTGAATTGGGTTATTAGCTGTAACCATACTGCAGTGTAGTGTAACATTCTTGTTTTCAGGCCCTGTGGGTGAGGACATGTTCCATTGGCAAGCAACCATCATTGGTCCAAATGACAGTCCCTATGCTGGCGGTGTTTTCCTTGTCACCATCCATTTCCCTCCTGATTATCCCTTCAAACCTCCCAAGGTATACACCAAAAACTTTTACCACATTCTGACTCCCATTTTCTTTATTTCAGCCAATCTTTCATTTACAAATAACTATGGATAAGCATAGAGTCTCTTCCTTTGCCATATTTCAAGGTGGAACATCTGTTTTTCTAGAGCAATACTCACACACATACTACAAAAGTAGCACCACCCAACAAAATCGTGTTTGTCTTCAATTTTGAATTTTAGTAACTGCTATTTAATATTTATAGTAAAGCGCTGAATCTAATTGATCGATAGCATTAAAAACTATTATATAGGTTGCATTCAGGACCAAGGTGTTCCATCCCAACATCAACAGTAATGGCAATATTTGCCTGGACATACTCAAAGAACAGTGGAGTCCTGCTCTCACCATATCCAAGGTCATGTTATGGACCTTTCCTCATTGATGTCATCATTAGCTTGTTTCTGTTTTATATATATTGACTGATTGTTAAAACTCATGCAGGTGCTTCTCTCCATCTGTTCTCTGCTAACGGATCCAAATCCTGATGACCCTTTGGTGCCTGAAATTGCTCATATGTGCAAGACCGATAAAGTCAAGTACGAGTTCACTGCTAGAAGCTGGACCCAGAAGTATGCCATGGGCTAATACGTTTTGGAGTTGTCTTTTTGCTCTTCAAAATCCTTCTCTTTTATAGTATTATATATTAATATATAGATATGACCATGAAGTTTGGGCATTGTTAAACAACTTGCATACATATGAGAATTGTTCTCAAAGGCTTTACCCTTGTGATTGGAGCGTGCTCTATATGAATAAATTCTACTCCCATTTGAAGCTTTTCTTGTGTTCCCATTAAAAAAAAAATGTAACCAAGAAGGCTAAATTATTGTCTACTTCCTTAGGTCAAGAAACAAGGTTTTCATGCACTACATCCTTGCAATTGTTTTTCACAAATTCCATTTGTTTTCCGTGGTAAGATTTTGATCTGGATATTGACCCCTATACTTAATTCAAGCTTCAATAAATAATACCCAATCAGCACAGTATCATGTTATTTGTGATCTAAAACTACACCACTCAAGCTTGTTCCGGCAAAACTAAGCCCTAAAGTAAATTGAATCATATGATCTACGGTCAAAAATAAAAAGAAACACGTTCTGAATTATATCTTCAAGACTAGACTTGAACTTCTGTCGGACAGAAATCACGAATTTGTGATTGGTACGTATTTGAAGCTTGGTGTTTGTTTAGAGAAGGGGAGGTGAAATAGTCACTGGTTTTTATACATTTCACAATGAGATAATGAAACCTTTAATCCGCAAGTCGATAAAAAAATGAGCATAGTGAGCAAGTATCATAAGAGCCATGCTTTACAAGTAAATTACTTTGCGGATATGTAACCAGCAACTGTCAAACTACACTGACACTGCTAGTATTATAACAGTCTTGTGTTATTATTCTTAAAATGATGCGTCTTACTTGAAACAAGGTATGTTTTTCTGTCACTACCAAATTTAGCAAATAGTGAGTACAGTAGTTTGTTTAGGCACGTACGGTCCCAGATCACATTGGTAGGTTTCTTCATTATATAAAAGTATAAAGGTTGCATTTATTGCAGAATGCGATTAATATTCTGATAGATATTTATACCTCATGTAGTCATGTCTCATTTTAATAATTGCAATATGCAACTTTACGAGCAGACATTATTACCACGAAAATGAAATTCAAAATTAGACATTAGTGATGCCATGTCAAGCACGCAAAACAACATGGACATGGAGTGTCTTAATGACAGAATTTGGTTGGCGTTATTACATATAAACAACAGGGCTTACACCATCAATATTCTTGGAGCAAATAATTCTCTTACTTGGTTCCAAAGATGCAGTTGAGTAGGCCACACCACCTTTCTCATATGTGACAGTAGCAAAACCCTTCAGGGAACCCCTACGATTGTGAGGCTTCAACTTCCTTAATTATTTATTCATTTTTCATTTTTATTCAACTTCCCTAATTTTTATTTTATTTGTTGCAAATTGACACTTAAACTTCAATTTCATCTTAAGCTAATCATTAAAGTATACTCATTTTATAAATAGACACGTGGAACTTTAATTTTCTCTAAATTAATGCTTTGAGTGCATTTGTCCCCTGATAGCATTTCCGATTATAATATCATGAAAATATGATTCTGAAAAATACAATATCATTCTGTAAATAAATGTTCCCTTAAATTTTAATTTTATATTAATTCATTATCAAAATTTACCTCTATTGCAAATAGTCCTTTTATAAAGTTAAGATAAACTATTAACAGAGAAAAAAATCTCAATTTTATTTATTTTGAATTGTAACAAAATTTTCAAACATTTAAGCATGATAAAATTTAGAATTGAAAAATCAATTAAAGACATTTATTGTATTTTTTTCTTAATTCATAAATTTATTATGTTTTAATACTTGGGTAAATGAATTATAACATAAATAAACAATTAATGAATAAATTTTAAAGTAAATAAAAGATTCTGATGTTTTTTCCGTTAGTAATATAATTCTAACTTTCAAATTAAGGGGAAAATATTAAAGTAGAATAAAGTTTAAAAATCAATTGGGTGGAATTTAAATTTAAGGTGTCTACTTGTAAATGAAATAAAATTTAAAATTAATCGAAATAAAATTAAAGTTTAAAATATCTTTTCATAAAGGATATACCTTTTCTATTCTATAAATTCATAAAGATAAATAATATAAAAAAGTCCAAAGTACATGTCTATAACAAGAAGGAAAAAGAAAAAAGAAAAAAAGAGTTGAATACTTTTTCCTGCTTTTTAAAATTAATGTTAGTTTCACATGATATACTCACGTTAATTTATATTTTTATTTAAAAAGTATTTTAAATTAATATATGTAAAATTAAATATTTAGAAAAAAGACATTATAAATTATTATTATTATTTTTCGTGTATTTAGAAAAGTAACTATAAAAATATATAATAAAAATATGTTTCTTTCAAAACTTATTCAAATACACCGTTAAATAGAAAATATGTTGATTTATATTGTTAGGTATGTGTAGAGTATTGAATTAGTGCACTACTGTACTGTATAAAATAATCTAATGACAGGGAGAAGGCACATTGAAAAAACATGTAGAAAATGAAATATAAAAAAAAAATCAGGATTTTATTTTATTTTTAAAAAAAAGGAGGAGGGAGGATATTTCTTATTCTTTGAAATATTTTTGGTCCACGAATTACTTGGGTTGGTCATGGTGATGCATCTTTTCAAAAATAGAATAATGAGTTACACACACACACTTCGTACATAAGCAAATTCTTCACCCGGCTTCCACTCAGCACCGCTTAATCACATATAAAATTATAGTTATTTTTTTATTATAAATTATTAAAATAAATAAATATAGTTATAAATATTTATTGATGTGATTAATATTAACTATTCCAAAGGAATGATTAATTATTATTTAATATTATAATAACATTATGGCATTTATGATCTAAAAGTAATTATTATTAAATATTTCAATAATCTTCTAACTATTAATAATTACATATAATCATATTTCTTTATACTTAATTATTTATTTGACAAAGTTAATCATGTTTATATATGTAATTAGTCACATGTTAATAACCTTGTGAACTATTAATCACTTGTGAATAAAAGTTAATTACTATTATATATTTAAATAATACCATGAAATTATTAACCACCTATATATTAGTAATTATATACAAATCATATTTATTTATTTTAATCACTTATAAAATAAAAATAATTAAACAATTAACCATGTTTTTAGGACTGAAAGGTAAATGTAAATTTCTGAATATGCGTTGCTCTTTTTTCTATATTCTAATGAAAGCAATTTATATGAGTAACTTAATACATCTAACATAATTGGTGGTCTTTGTTATACTATGCTAAACAATTTATACTCAATTTTGTTATAATAGAATAAATTTTAAGGAATTTCAAAAACTCATTATATATATATATATATTTATTTATTTATTTATATTGACTTGGTTATATAATAATTATTTGGTGATCACCACTAGATCTAAAATATTATTTTTTTTAATGATAATAAATAGTTGTTTGTTGAATGAACTGAATTATTTTTTTAAATAACTTTCATTACTATGTTGTTGAATTGCTCCAACAAAAAAGTTGTTTCAAGCAATTTGAACTTTATTTAAGTTCCTTAGTAGTGTAAATTTTTTTTATATTATTAATAATTTTAAAAAAATATTAAAATTAATTTTTGTATGTTTTTAAGAGAATTAATACAAATATTAAAAAAATTATCATATACAATAATTTATGATACATTATTTATGATAGAATAATTTTATTTGTTAAATTAATTATTATACAATATTCTGTAATAATATTTTTTATTTTTTATTTATACTTTACCATTTGTTTGATAAGTTCAATGTAGAAAAGTATCAAAGAGTTTACAATAGTTTACGCACACTACTTAATCATTTGAGTTAGATTTTCTTAACAATGTACCTATATACTTGATAAAAAGGAAAAGGAAAATAAAATGAAAAAATACATAATAATATATTTCTTTTGGGTTCTTATGAGACGGAGATGACAATTTAAAAACCACACACAAACCGACAGAAAAAAAAAAGTGAAACTCTAATTACAACAACCAAACCAAACCACACCAATTTCTGTTGTACCTAATATATATATGAGATAAGGCAGAAGATTTATGAGTCCCATTTGTCACCAAAGAACAACAAGGCCTGACAAGAAACATGGCATCTATTGCCTATTGGGCTTCAAAGTTCAAAGGTTGCGCTTTAGACTTTGAATTTGTGGGGCCTATTCAAGAATTGGAATTTTAACGTGTTCAACTTTGATTTCATTGTCAATTCAATTTCATCTAGTTAAGCAACGAATAAATTAAATTAAATTAAACCACGTAACATTTTCATTTGTCAGCATCTCTTCCACTGTTTCATTCATGTTCATGTTGCTCAGCGAGGGCTGCTATTCTGCTAAACAAAACATAGTGCGGTGAAACATATGATATCACCACTTTGGTTCTGTTCAAAAATTCACATGAAAAGTTAACACTCTACAAATTTTCAATCAAAGACGTGCACTCCTAGAATTCTGACGTCTAAAAATTTTCAAACTTTGCATGGTTTTAATTGGATTAAAATACATTTGTGATCAGATCATGAAGATAATGACAAACAGATAGATCCATCTTATGTAAATCTTATAATTATGTTACGGGAGGTATGTTTTTAATCAAGTTTTTTTTTTACACTTTTTTATTTAATTATAGATTGTTATATGATTAAAAAAAATATTGATCTTTTTAATAATAATCACTTGAAAAGTATATTTAAAATAATTTTTAATTAGTTGATTGCGTAAAAATCTTTAACCAATAATATGTATATTGAATGAGATTACATTGTTGTGTGTCTGTATGTTCTTTGCGAATTATGATGTAAATATTTCATTATGTAATGAGATTACATTGTTGGAGTTGGCTTAACTTTTAAGCAGTGCTAACATCTTGTACTTTTACTTTGATATTGTTAGCATATCCTTTAGGAGTAGTTTGTTTCAAAAGCTTCCTTTTGAGTGTGCTTTTGAGTAATCTTCTAAACAAGGTGATGGAGATGAGTAGAAGAAGTGAAACACAAACTCCTCCTAAGCTCCTCCTAGGATCGGATCTTCTTCAATGGAGATTAAAACACAATTGAAGAACACATTGAGATGAAGAACACTTGCGAAAATGGAAGAAGGAAGCATCCAAGCTCAAGAACTCAAGGGATTGCACACTTCAAAGTGAAGGAAACTAGGTTTTCCTAAGGATTTTGAAGGCATTCTCTTAGGTTTTCTCTCTTGGAAATTTTGGTGACTCTTGAGGGAATTAACTGAAGAAAATGTTCAGAAATTCTCATATATTCAAAAGTGATTACAATGTGTAGGAGACACACTTAAGTTGGGACGGTTTTGAGTGGCATTGGCGCCTAGACTAAGCTACACAAGTTGGCGCCTAAAATTTGAATTCAAATTGGAAATTTGAATTCAAATTTTGGTGCACATGGGTGTGGCCGTGAGTTTAGGTACCTAATGTGCATCTAGGTCTGATTTGAGAGTCATTTAAGGTTAATTTGAGTGTCACATGTTCAGCCACCAATTGGTGCAAAACATGTGACTCAAATGTAACTTAAATGGCTTCCAAATTAAACCTAATTTAACCCATAATTACATCCTTTAATAATGAACAAGCAGGAGTGATACAACATGATGGCTATTAAATAAAACTATAATAATGGTAATCAGCATATACAACATCTTATCTATCTTCTATCTCTCTCTCCCCTCCTTCTCCCTCTATGCTGGCTCTCCTTTCTTCACATGTTGATTTAAATCGTTTAATTACAAACCAAAATCCCATAAATGCACAAATCAGTACACTCAACAATGTAAATTAGGAAATATGTCTCTGCATTCTGTTCTAATAATTCAAAGGCATAGTTATTTTGAGTTCAACTAATCAACAAAAAAGGCCATAAATATCATGCAAACAAAAATAAACTCCCAAGCATATAAAAGTAGTCTCAGTCTCTTGATTGACGAGTCCAGAGTATATGTTCTGAAGTGCAAAAAATTTTAAGAAAAAATTATCCATCAATGCTTATAAGAAGCCTGTTGTTGTGGAGTTTTATGATGAGATAGTTTTCCCTGATCCTTCCGAGGCTTTCTTAGCTCGTATGCAAGGTCATCCAGCTGTGAACTTGCCAAGATTACCTGCTGGGCTCACCTTACCTCCTCCCAGTATGTTATGTAGCAATTACCCCTGTTATCTGCAGCTTTCCTTTTTCCATGCTTGAGTTGAAAGAACTTGTAAATGCAGTACCTGTTGAGGATGCAAGTAAAAGGAGAAAAGGTGATACCAAAGATCATTCCTTAAGTCAATGGTTTACAAATTTCTCGGAAGCAGATGAGCTCTTACAGCTTGCAGCAGCTCGTCAGCAGGTATGTATCACAATACTTTTATCATATTTGAAGTATATGATATTTGTGGATGTCAAACCTATTGTTAATTGTTGATGCCTTGATTGATGGTATATTTATTAGTTAATGAATCTGAATGAGCCATGACAACAAGCATATGCTTGCATCTTTACAAAATAGAAAAGTCTGTATCAACATGCTCACCTGTTTGGCTGTCACCCTAGCAATCCAGATTATAGATGATCCTGATAGTTTCTTTATGGAGAAATGTGATAGCAATAGCATCAAGATCCTGATGCAAGGTTAATGTTTTATCAAAAATAGCTTGGAACGGCCCGTTCCAGATTGGGAACGGCTCGTTCCGGGCTACTAAATCAGCCTTTTTTTTTTAACCACGTTACAAAATTAAACTATTTATTTAATTGATTTTTAATTAGTATGTATAACAAATCATTTCATTACAATGTGATTCTCATTTTTCTTGACAAATTTTAGTCTTTTAAGTATTGTAATTATGTGTTTTAGTCTCTCAAATTTTAATTGAATAATTTTAATTTCTCTAGTATTGTAATTGTATAATTGTGATCTCTTAATTTTTAACTAAACAAATTTAATTTCTCAAGTAGTGCAATTGTATGATTTTAATTACTCATGTTATGTTGAGAATATAAACTAATCGTAATCTTGAGAAAACTTTCACGCAAGTCTCCAAGATTTTCTAATATTAGACTGAGATACAGAACTAGCAAATTTTTAATCAAAAAAGAAAAAATAGAGAAGGAAATAATGTATATTTGACTTCTACTAACTCTCAATAGAGGATACTAACCAATATGACTATAATTAATCATGATAATTAAAACTAATTAATTTTAAAATATTTAATCATTAAAATTAGAACAAATTATTATATCTCATTGAAAATGATATTAATTAGATTTGAATAACAGTAATTAATAAAATAATCATTTTAAATTTAAATTTAATTTTTTTATAAATTAATTAAATTTTAAAATACCTCAAAATATATAACAACATAAGTATCACATATATTATTAATGTTAGTAGTAATAAATATATATCATCTAATAGATCAATAAAATTTATACTATATAAAACTTAAATAAATTAAAAATTATATAATTATAATACTTAAAAAAATTAAAATCATAGAATTTTATACTTAAAACACTAAAATCATACATTTTTTAATAACATATTATTTACTTATGTTTATCCGTTTGAAATATTCCCCATCTCAACCAGTTTTTTACATGCACAAAATATTTAAGATTCAAATTCTTGACTACTTGTTTAGGAAAAATATGAGATTATCATTCTTGACTACTTGTTTAAGAAGAATATGAGATTATCATTAGTTGGTGGATCAACTACTTGATGGCGGCAAACATGTGTTAAACACAAAAATATATTTCACATTATTGTAAAATAATAATTATTATGATGAAGTGTTTATAGCTTTTAATTTTAAGTTTTTTAAATACGTTTTTATCTCTTTAGTATCTTAGTTGTGTGACTTCATTCTCTCAAGTTTTAAGCAATTTTAATTCTATAGTAATTGTGCAATTTTAATTTTTAAATTTTTAATTAAATAATTTTAATTTATCAAGTACAATACTTTTTTGATTTTGGTTACTAAAATATCACAATTATATAATTTTAATTTATTTAAGTTATATATATTATTTATTTTAATAAAAATAAATATATATCATCTCATACATTAATAAAAATTATAATATGCATAACTTGAATAAGTAAAAAAATTATATAATTATATTATTTAGAAAACTAAACTCGTACAATTTAAATACTCGAAGAATTTAAATTACACAAGTAAAAATTAAATGAGAAAAATTATTTAAAAAAAATAAAATTATTCAATTAAAAAATTAAAAATAAAAATCGCATGATGATAATTAAGCCGTGCAAATCAGCATGTTTATATGAAGCGGCTAACTAATCATTCTCTTAAGATTCTCAAGAAAGCGAAGCAGACAAATAGATATTAAGATTTATGATTATGAGCACAATATTATGGCTACGGAATATTTTTTTGCTGTGTTTATCCCATTTGGGGGATATTAATTATTTCGAAATTTATAAATTAATAATTATTAAGAAATGTTCGTAAAATATGTGCTCAAGTTTATAACTAGCTAGTATGTCGTGTTAGCACTGATAATCACCTTAACTCATCGGAATTCCCCATGAAATGATCATCAGAAAATAAGTGGAATGTTATTCTTATAAACAAATAATTATTAGAATTAATGAGTAGTTGTTATTTATTTGATTTATATCTAGAAAAGGGGGAAAAATGAGAAAGGAAATATAAAAATTGTTGTTATAATATTATTAGTGATTAGAAGAAGAAAAAGAGTGAGAGTAAGGCGCAATATTCGTGGAGCCGTGTAACAAGTTAGAAGACCGTATAACAAGGGCTTGCCGCGAAAACGCCCTCTTAGGACTAAAAATTTTCAGGTGCCTATTATATCACTCACTACTTTCTATCCGTACTTTTCGCGCCACTTCTTTTCTTCACCCCAAGGCCTTCACATCTTTTACTATGTTTCTCTTTCCATTCAAGAACACACACCCTTTCTAAATTCAACATATTCTACCCCTCCATATCCATTCCCTGTGTGTTCTTTTATTTTACCATTTTTCTTCTTTCGATTTTTACTTCAACTAGGTACGCTCGCTCATGCTGTTTTATTTCACTCAAAAACACATCTGCCTCCTTACAACATTTAGGTGCATATTCCTTTGCCTTCCTTTGTTTTATTCAACATTTTTTTAATGCCATGATCGTTTCCTACCACCATATTATATATTATATTTATTCAAGGCCTCCACGGGTTTTCTTTCATGCAATTGGTCATGTCATTTTTAATGTTTTTTTTTTTCTCTCCCGTCTTCCTTGGCCATAAACATTTTTTTTCTTCTTAATAGGTTGTTCTATTTAATATTCCACTATAGTATATGCATATGGTGGTGTGCCAAGTGCTGGGGCATTAGGTTCAAGTTCCAAGCATGATAGTAATAGGAGTAACTCTGTTTTGAAGAGATTGAGATAGTTTACTCAACAAGGTGGTGAGAGGTGTTTGGTAAAAGGGCAAAAGGCAATGACAGTTGACAAGAGATTTGTTTTGGTGGGGATTAGAATTGATGGTCGTAGCAGACAGCTACTCAACTGGGCTCTTGTCAAAGTTGCGGAACCTGGGGATTGTGTTATAGCATTTCATGTTGTTAAAAGTTCAGGTAATCAACTTCAAATTTTCAAACCATGCTAGTATATCTATTTTTTTCCTTCAACGTGTTGTTGAAAGATTTTTTTTAATACAGATTATGTTTCAAAAAACAAGGCCATGATAGATGGTTATTTAGAAGTTTATGAAGGCCTGTGTGGTGTCAACAAGGTACATAAATATTTCTCTCTCTTATTTATTTTCACTTTCATTCAAGGGGTTGGTAAATGTGACAGATTTTATTTTATTGACTGGATTTCAGGTAGGTCTGACAGGTCAAATCTTCACAGGAAGCTCCATCCGAAACATTCTTGTTAGAGAAGCAAAAAACCATGCTGCCCTGGCTCTAGTGGTAGGGTATGTAGAGCTTGTATTTCACCGGTTTTGTTGTGGTTTTAGCTTATCTGATGTGTACTTTTACTTAATTTTCCTTTTCTGATTGTTTTAAAAGACTAAAACAGATTTGAATTGCAGGGGTCGAGGTGCCACAGCTAAATATTGCGCCAAGCGACTACCACCCACCACCAATGTTCTAGCCATCCATGACTCAAGAATTGTCTTCAGGAGGTGCACCAATAAACAACAACCAGGTTCATATCTATGTTCTTGTTTTATAGAGGAAACTATGTCTTTATCTCCTAGAAAAATTGTATCATAAGTCAGCGAGTCACAAAAGTGAAATAGAATAAGGCTTGTTTCCTTTTGTGGCGGCAGGTAGTCTTATACTGGATCCAAGACCAAGTTTAACAAGCATTGAAGAAAAGTTGAGTAACAGAGTAATCCAGTCTGCATTTGGTGACTCCACCGTGGAGATTGAGAAACCAACACGCAAAAATTCCTTAGAATTGAAGGAAGAAGCGTTTAACGGATCAGAAAAGTGTGAGTCAAGGTCAATATCCATGTCTGCAGGTGATTCTGCAGAGCAGAAACTTGGGTGGCCTTTACTCCGCAGAACTAATTCAGGAGTCTCACAAACCCTTCATCCAAGGGACATGTCAGTGGTACAATGGGTAATGACCTTACCAGACCGTTCACCACATAAAAGTCCTCCTTCTCCTTCCATCCAGGAAAATCCATTCCAAAGGGGCATCAGATATATTGACGATGAGAGCTCTAAAAATTCTTCACTTTCATCCGTTGAGCTACCAACTGACCTAGAGGATATGTTAAACATAAATTCACTCAATTGCAAGTGGTTCAGCCTTGAGGTTCTAAAGTCTTGCACTAACCAATTCTCTTCAGGTTGGACACTGGTCATACATTGACTTATGATTTTCTTTAGTTTGTAAATAAATATAATATAACTTTGTATTCCATTATAGAAAACTTGGTTGGAAAAGGAGGGAGCAATCGTGTGTACAAAGGAGTCCTCCCTGGTGAAAAGCCAATTGCAGTTAAAGTATTGCAGTCATCAAAAGAAGCCTGGAGAGATTTTGCCCTTGAGATGGAAATAATATCCTCATTGAAGCACAAAAGCATCGCCCCTCTACTTGGGATTTGCATGGAGAACAATACTTTAATCTCTGTTTATGATTATTTCCCCAGAGGCAGCTTAGAAGAAAATATGCATGGTATTCAGTGGATTTTTGCTTTTGCTTTTCATCCATTATTTCAATTGTTGGAAGATGGAAATGGTGCTGATGTGAATTTGAAAATGGACATAGGAAAGAACAAGGATGGATCCATCTTGTCATGGGAAGTGAGATTTAATATAGCTGTTAGGATCGCTGAAGCGCTTGATTACCTACACAGGGAAGCTTTGAAGCCAGTTATACATAGAGATGTCAAGTCTTCCAACATTCTTCTCTCCCAAGGGCTTGAACCACAAGTAATCAAAAGTTTTGAGACTTTCGTATTGAAAAGAACATTTAATAAATTGATACTGTTAGAATTCAAATGAAGTAGCATTATTATGTGTGAAATTCTTTATGTCACTCATGAATCATGATTGTCCTTTTGATGAAGTTGTCTGATTTCGGACTTGCAATATGGGGACCAACAAATTCATCCTTTTTGATACAAGATGTAGTTGGAACATTTGGCTATCTTGCTCCTGAGTACTTCATGTATGGAAAGGTCAGTGACAAGATAGATGTCTATGCCTTCGGTGTAGTGCTACTTGAACTAATATCAGGAAGGGAACCAATCAGCTCATCCGCTTGCATAGGACAGGAGAGTTTGGTTGTGTGGGTAAGACCTAACCCCGTTTACTAGAATGATTTTTGGCTTCTGTTAATGACATAAGAATAATTTTATTCTCAAGCACCTTCAACACTAGAAGAGAAGGAAAAGTGCAAGATAAGATGAATAGAGTGATGGAGAGACAGAAAAAAATATGAACTCTGAACAAATAGTATAAGATAATGTTATGAAAATAGCATTGGTCAAACTATAAATCCTTTTTTGATACATTATAGCTTTTAAATCTAGGATTTATAAACAATGTTTTCATTTTCAGGCAAAACCAATAATAGACAGAGGGGATATTAAAGGCTTATTGGACCCAAATTTAGAAGGGAAAGCTAATGAGGCCCAATTGCAAAGAATGGTTCTGGCAGCATCCTTATGCATCACACGATCTGCTCGGCTTCGTCCTAAACTGAAACAGGTAATACCAAATTGATGGTTTATTTTTGTATTTGTTCTCTAGAGATATGTTTTCTAAGAGAAGTGTAATATTTTGTGTATAAAAAATTTATACATTATCTATTTTGAACTTAAACTTTCATATATGTGCTTTTGATTATCATTTAAGAATTTATTTAGATGTAAATTAGAAATTCTTTTGAGAGTTTCTTTATTGAAAATAAATAATTATTTTCTATAAAGAAACTCTCTAAAATACTTATAAGTTTGTATCTAAATAGACTTAAAAATTTTGTATCAATAGAAATTTTGAGTACTTAGGTTTATCATCTTGTTTTATCAACGTGGAGCTTTGTTTCCCAACACAAATGACACCTAAGCTGTCATATTCTCAATACAACTCACATTTCCATATTTATTTTAAAAACTTTTAGCTCCTAAATTAAAGTTTATTATTTGCATATCTACAGATACTGATGATCCTAAAAGGAGACGAGAAAGTTGAATATTTCCTCAACTCCAGTGAGGATGATCAGGAGGATTCAGAAAATCAAGAAAACATTGATGACGAAGTCTATCCAAATTCAAGTGCTGAGTTACATCTGAGTCTTGCATTGCTTGGTGTTGACGATGACAGTACCTCACATAGTAGCACAGACCACAGCTATAGTGAACACTTGAAAAGACGATGGAGCAGGTCCTCAAGTTTTAATTAGTTACCTTCAATTCTAAGTTTCTAACACCTATTTGTCATTTTTTGTGCGTGTACAGTTGCATTGAAAAACAAAGGAGCTGCACCCCTTGATGAGGTGGTTTGTAGATTTAGAATGAATTTATCCTGGGAATAATCAACAATGTACTAAATTTTGGTTTTATGCATGCATCATAGGAAATTATTGAAATATGCCACTATTACTTTGCCTACTTATTATATATACGTTGACCCAAACCGACTATAATCCACAAAAATTATATTTAAACCGCGATTATGATTATTCTATGGTCTATACTCCAAATGAAGACGCGGAAACTTCCAAATTCGCATACACATTTAAGCAGAAACTACTATCTTAGTCGGTTTGATTTGATGAATATTATGACATAAATTATGAAATAATTTTTGTTTTAAATATAAAAACACTTATGTCATTATTGTTATTGTATCATCACTAAATCCTAATCTTTATCTATCACTATCATTATTATTATATATCATTATTATTATCATTATTAATATTATGTGATGGTCACAATTTTAATAACTATCAATTTTTATTAAGATAATAATTTATTATAAAACTAATATTAAAAGGTATTATAATAAATTTAACATGTTCTATTTGTTATTTATTGTTCACTAAAAAAAATATAGATAAATTTTTTTTTACAATAATTTAAGCATTTATCATGTACCTTTTTTTTATCTAGTACCTTGGTGAATAAAATAATTTTAAAAAAATAATAATTAATTGTCTTGAGCTTTTAAAATAAAAAATAAACAAGAATAAAATTTTCTTCTAAAAATAAACGTGAAAGACCACAAAAATATTGTTTGTATTATTATAATATATTAAATATATTTATTTTTATTTAATACTCTTATAAGATAGTTAAAAATTAATATAAGAATTTTATATATAAATAAGATAACATTTATGTGCAATTAAGCATATTTATATAAAATAAATTATGTATGTATTAAACTATTAATCGTTAATTTTTTTATTAACAGTTGAGAGATTACTTTATTTTTGTTCAGTTTTAAAAAGCCGAATAAAAAAAATCTTATAGATTTACATATGATTTAACTTTTTTAAAAAGTGAATAAAGGTAAGACAAGTACTCAAATATCATTATTAATAGAATCTGGTTAATATTTCAAAATACATTAGTAACCGCAGTGAATTTGAAGAGTTTCTCTATCTTTGACTCAAACATCACCTCCTTCATTTAAATTTTAAAACTATAAGTAATCTTATATCATTATATAAATTATTATCATAAATCTAAAATATAATTACATGTCTAAAATATTTATTTATTATTACTTTTAGTTATAATAGAATTTATATATTTAAAATATTTACTTATTATGAATTTAAACTATATAAAAACATTTTGATTACTATTGCAAAACTTTCTCCGTTTCGATACACGGATACCATTCGGAGCATTTTATGAAACGAAGTAATATATAAGCTATGGCCAAAATTAAAAAGTACAAGTAAAAAGAAGAAAAGTAAAATATAAGTTCCCAAAAAGATCAAAGAAAAGATGCTGTTTTGAGTGTTTTATATTCTTAAAAAGAAAAAAGTTGGTATAATAATACTATAATAGTAATTTTAAAAAGTAATAGGATTCGTGATTGGACTTTTGTGGGTGCGATGCAGCTGGGTTCAATAGGCTTTCGGCTTAACGGGCCTTCACAACCCAAATCAACATAAATTCTCAAAACTTCTAATATGTCTAAGCTTTTAAGTATTCATTTATAGTAAGTTTAATTACTTTTTTTTTGTTCTTTTTTTTTTAATTTATCATTATTTAATCACACTTAAAAATGTGTCCAATTATATGTGTGTTCTATAATTTAATAACGATCAATTTCCATAATTAAACCTTATAATAAACATGTTAATCCATTAGTATTACTATAATATATCTTTGTTAGTATTTTAAAAAATAATTACCGACAAAATATAAATTGCTGAAATCTAAATATATGAGAAAATAAATTATGAAAAAAATTATCAAATTTCGTAAGAAAATAAAAGTTGAGAAGCATAAAATATAATTATTATTATTTAAATATGAATTGTCTTTTTTCTCTGAGTTATAATAAATCAAAGATAAAAGGATTATAAACAAAATTGTATTATCTTTATTAATGTTATAAATAATTCAAAAGGAGAACATTCAAATTTGCAGCTTTAAAATTTGACCATGTTTCAATTTTTTAAGTAAATAATTATAAAAATAAGTTGTTTTAGGACATACATAAATTTTTTTATGTGATAGTTATAAAGTCTATTCTAAAATATATAAAAAAATTATTTTATGTTCTCAAAATCAATTCTTATATTATTAAAATAATATTTAATCAATAAAAAATTATCTCTTATAATTAAAAATTAATTTTAATTATCTATTTTATTCATCATTCAACTATTTAAATCACTTAAAACAATAACTTTGATCATGCAACTTGCGCTCGGTACCACTTAGAAGATGTTCGGTACCATTCAGACAAATGGTTCCTTATTTCACTCACGCTTAACGTCAAGCTACTCGCATCCAGCATGGTTGAGGTAGAGAATTTCTTGCTCTCTCGCGTCTAATGTGGTACAACCCATGACGACCCTAATTAGACAGAAGGTCTTTAGCTTACTCATGCTCGACGTCACATATACTATCACCTTACGTGAATCAAAACAGAAACAAGTCTCTCTTATCACATTCGGCGCCATTCAACCTATGCTCGATGCCACATAGACTATCACCCCACATGAATCCAGACAAAAACGAGTCTTTCTCATCAAGTTTGATGCCATTCAACTCATGCCCAACAATATTCTAACCAAAAACAATTCTCTCTCTTCACATCCGACGCCACCAATTTTGCATCTAATGTGAGTAAAATAGAGAGAACTCTTATTTGGAGTCACACGTGGCGCGATATCAATTTTCACACTTATGTAGAACCCAATTTCGTGAATCCACCTAAAATAAGCAATCCCAACAACATGTATTACACTAAACAACATTTATACAACATATACAACACGATTTCATCATCAAAAATAACATGCAACCATAGATTACCAAGAATCACTAAATCCTCACAAAACACCATCAAGAACCAAAGACTAACAACTCATCATTTCCTTTTCACTCGGAATTAAGGATTCAACAACTACATGAACTTGAAACATCACAATTCAACATGCAATCCATAACAACACAAGCTTTCAAATTCACAACACAACAGCTTGGCTTAGCTACAAGAAGTAGAAAAAAAAGGAGTTTTAAGAAGAATAAGAAAAAGAGGAGATTTTAGGTTCTTAGAGAACTTCTCTTTAAAATTTTGAAAACTTGGGTTATAAGGCTCAAAATCTAAGAATTCTTTTTTTTTTATAATACTTTTCTAAGTTGTCTTGACTTATCTCTGGTTCAAATATTTAGAGACTAACTGATTTTCAATATCTCCTTAACCCACAGTCCTCAACAATACTAATGTCAAAACAATAAAATTTCATATAATTAATAAAACAGTCATAAACTCAAAGGTTTCCATTAATCGTTAAATTAAAAATTCTTAATACATAATTTAAGTCTGAATTTTTTTTTAAAATTTAATTGATACTTCATCTCATTATTTCAATTTAGCGTATAAAATATTTTTATATTTATCTATCAATTTAAATTAATGAGATAAAATATAAAGTATTTTCAAAATTTTAAAAAATTTATAAACTTAATTTATATATTAAAAATTTTAATTCAATAATTGATATCGTCGCGCACTAGATAGTAGATAAAAAATTTAAGACAGTTAAATTAAAGAAATAATGAAATATTTTAGTGGAAGAAAATTGTAGCCTCCAAGTTTAGAACTGGTCGCCGTTGACATTAATCTAATAGAAAGAAGAAGCTAAACAGAAAAAGGAGCATAACAAAATGATGCTTTAATAAGATTCGATTTGCCCTCTTTATGTAAATCTTAAGTGCGACGACGATACTTAAAATTATTTTTTGCAACACACGACAGGAACAACAATAATAGTTATGAAACTATGAAAATGTCAAAAAGCTTACTATTAGTAAGTATCTTTTAAGGGAAGAAACTGATTTAAGAAAATATTACTAGTAATAATTATTGTGATATTAATCTGCCAATAATGCATAAGTGTTGACCCAGAATAAGGAGAAGATATGGGCCCTAATCATAAAAAAAAAAAAGAAAAAGAAAAAGAAAAGAAGGTATGGGCCCTACGTGAATTATTATTTCAAAATTCACGATCACAGGTACACTCAGACGACGAGAATACGTATAAATTTGAAGCGATTGAAAGTTGAAAGAGAGAGCGAGTGAGAACCGACAAAGAAAAAATAATCGGTGGGATCTCTCAAGTCTCAACCTATCGCTTCTTCCTGGTACGTGCGTCTTATGTTTTTCGTTTCGCAAATGATCTTTTCTAATTAGGGTTTCCATAATTTCAATTCGCGCATTTTGGATTAGGTTTTTCGATTTGGGGGTTTTCTCAATGGACGACGGCGAGCTTGACTTTTCGAACCAGGAAGTGTTTTCGAGTCCGAACATGGGCGAGATTCCGAGCAGCGGTTCAATGGACAGCTTCTTCGACGAGCTTCTCAAGGACACGCACGCCTGCACGCACACCCACACGTGCAACCCTCCCGGCCCCGATTTCTCGCACACCCACACGTGCTACCACGTCCACACCAAGATTGTGCCCGCTCCGGCGGAGGACCTCGTCGCCACCGACGACACCGCCGAGTCCGCGGAGAAGAAGTCGTCAAAGAAGCGACCTTTGGGGAACAAGGAAGCGGTTCGCAAGTACAGAGAGAAGAAGAAGGCACGTGCGGCGTCGCTGGAGGACGAGGTTGTGAAACTGAGGGCTCTGAACCAGCATTTGATGAAGAAGCTGCAGGGGCAGGCTGCTCTGGAGGCTGAAATTGCGAGGTTGAAGTGTTTGCTTGTCGACATAAGGGGGAGGATTGAAGGGGAGATTGGGTCTTTTCCTTATCAGAAATCGCCCAATGCTAACCCTCCAATGGCTAACGTGCCTGGTTCTTATGTCATGAACCCTTGTAACGTGCAGTGTGATGACAGGGTGTATTGCCTTCGCCCTGGTGGGGATGGGAAGATTGGGGAGAGTGAGTCGTTGAATGTGGAAGGTTTTGGTGGTTGTGAGTTTGAGAACCTGCAGTGTCTTGCTGGCCAGAATTTGGGGCTCAAGGACCTTCGTGCTTGTGGGGTTGGACAACAGGCCGGGTCTAATGGATCAAGTAAAAGAAAAGGTGGGACTTAATGACGATATACATCATACACTGTCTCATTCTAGGGTGACATGTTTGTTTTTTGCTTGTTTTGTGTTTATACTCGGCTTAGGTACATTTTGATTGCTGGCTCATGCTAGTAATGGTATCATCTTTGGTCACTTTTTGGGAGCTGTGCTATTTGCTCGTCTTGTTATCTAGTTTAGCTTTGTGAATGTTCAGTATAGGAAGCATTGAGATTTGATAGAGGGAGAAGAATTTGCATTGCAATTTGAGCTCTGGGCTCTGGCATTTATAACTGTTTGGATCATGAATTGTTGGGAGTTCTGAACTCAGATGGCCACCCAGAAACACGTTTTTTTTTTTTTTTAATAATAAATTTTATTTGGTATTGTGTTCGTTTGCTATAATTCATAATTTTCCTTATATTCTAGGGATGAAATCTGATTGCTAGATTTTATGCAGGATTATATTTAGCTTCAGTGAGAATGACAGATTGTGTTTGTTACTATTACTAGCGTTGCAGAGTTCTTGTAAGATGGCTAGATGTTAAACACTTATTCTGGTCTTTTCTATTAGAAACAAATTATAGTGTATTTTATGCTACATTTGTCTCTTATAGAAATGATCCGAGGTAGTTTGTGTCTGTATGAGTTAACAAATGGTGCCATGTAATGACTAGATTTCCTCGCAGAAGATTGAAGCAACCGAATTTTAAAGATTCAACATACAAATTATTGTGCTGAACATTATTTCGAACTCTTTTACCAAGAAGGTTGAAAACTATTTTCTTTTTCAATTTTTTATTATATAGTCTATTTTATCCCTGTTTTCAAAGCTATTAGGATTGAGTCCAGTGTGATGACTTTAAGGCATGGAAGTTGAATATTCTTGCTCCCTAGTCCCTATCCTTTAAAATGTTCTAATGGATGTACCTTTTTTAGGGGGATCTCGTGCAGCAACTGCTGGTTGAAGAATTAATGAAATGATGGCTTTCATCATTGCTATGGTAATTTCTCCTTCCAATATCTCGTACCAGATGCAGCATCAGCTACCTACCAAGTCATTTTTGAAAAATAATTTTCTCATTTTGACCCTCTGCTGCATTATGGTGGTTCAAATGGCTATTCTACTATGGAAGATTAGTCGTAGATAAATGTTTTATTTAAACGAGATCAAGTAGTTGATCTGTAGCCAGCATAGCTAATGGCTGAGACAGATTTGGTGCTTCTCTATGCAATTAAGTTTCCTGGTTTTTTTAATTATGCATGGGACTTGTTAAAATGACATCATAAATGTTTCTATGCTCAGTCAATCTTAACTCTGCTAAGTTTAATAAGAGGATTTTAAGTGGTGATTCATGTTTTCTAAATTCACAAGGTTTTCATTGATGGATTACAGAACATAGGGATGATGGGGTGTGTTTCATCTTTCAGTACTTAGTGATGTGGACAGGTGAGACACCAATGTCATTTTGTGTAATATAAAATCTTGTGTGAGTGAGACGATAAAATTGGTCTGTATGGTTGCTGGCTTTGTTTTTGTTTTTATTTTTTTTGTTTATCTGAATAATATGAGAGGTTTACTTCTGTCTTTAGCATTTTTGCTGGGCAAGGGTTGACTAATTTATATCCAGAAGGAACAGTTGTCCTCTAACGGAAGATTTTTGCATATGGGCATGTCTTCTACGTGTTAAGACAGACAAGTGGCTTGTTTTGTATTTGACAGACAAGTGGCTTGTTTTGTATTTGAGAACACAAGTAGCTGTTTCAATTACCAATGGAACCCTGCTACCTTTAGAGTGATACGATGATGGGAAGCATATCAGCCTGTCTGCACTTAGAGAACAAGTCTTCGATAGATTTCGGTAATAAGAAGGTTTTTCGGACATGGAATGATTAATAAAACTTTACGTGATTGTATCTTATACTTCGACTGCCACTGTGAAAACAAAATTTGTAATCACTTACCTCGCTTCGCTAAGGTGCAATTGAAAATTTTCCATTAGTTGGCTACCCAGTGTATATGGTCTGAACTAAAAAAATCATGCACATAAAGGTAGACATAATTTTTTTTTCAAGTATAAAATATGACCTATTTAATTAAGGAATAAATTTGAAAATGCCTAAACTTTTTATGTCACAAGGCATTTCTTCATTTTTTTATTAGAAGGAAATGTTTATTCATAAGAGAGACACTGGTCTACAATTAAACAACCACTTTCAAATACTTCAAATCAAATTATTGCAAAATGTCCTTTATTTATTGCTAGGATTATAAGTTGCAATCAAGCATAACACTTGAGAAGCGCATGTTTGGTATTCCGTCTGGTTCACCTTGGGCGCTAATCAGTAGCAGTACAGGCTTGTTTATGCATCCATTTCTTATTGTTGAGTTGAAAATGCACTACACGTGGATCAAGGACGCAGTAGCAAACAAAAACTAAATCCATTGAAAAATTGCTATTCAAATGCTGTCACCCTAACCATATAACACACTCCCAATATTGATTCGTCCTCTTACGATGGGAGAAAAACAGAGATGATGAGTTTCACAGGTTTTGCGTAGCTTGAAAGTTTGGTAATAGGAAATTGTTGGGGGTGCTCAAGTATAACAACTTTGTGACAGAATGTAGTTGTAGTTGTTAGTTCTAATGTGGTGGTTGCGAAAGAATAAAGGCGTAACGCTGAGTTTCATAATGCAGGTGACTCAAAAATAAAGATGCAATCTTGGTAGAGATCACGGTCAATAAAGTTTGAAGAAGTTTTACATGTTCCTTAAAGATAGTTGATTGATGTACTGACGGAGAAAAAAAAAATGTAATTTGACTTGATTATGATGATTCGATAGGCTACAAAGAATAACCTATTGACGTGGAACAAAGTGGCAATGACTTGAAGTGAACGGAGGTTTTTATAACAGTGTTTAAGAGTTACTTAAAGTTGTTTTAGTTTTACTCATTTTGAAGCATCAAAAGGAGAGGCGATGGACTGATTTTTTTTGTGATACAGCCATTGATTTATCTTTTTTTATTTTTTGAAGATAGTGAAACCCCATCTTTAATTCTACTTTTTATGAGTCAAAACCTTAGACTTACAGAATTACTATAGATTGCTTATTTCTCATCGTTACATTGTACCTTTTTTCTCCGTTCAAATTATATTTAGCCATGTATTGGAACTAAATTAAAATGTTTTTCATATAAAGACAGAAAAGAATATAATATCATGTATAAAAAACTAAATGAAGAAAATGTATAAGAAATTTCGCATGTAGAAGCTAGATTTAAAATCTATCAATCATACCAGACTTGCTCCCTCAACATTACAGTGTGAGATAAAAACCATTTGGAAAACAACTTTTCGTCCAACTTTCGTGTAGTATATAAACCAAGCAGATATTCATACCTTAAAAAGTTAAATAAAATATAAAAAATAATATAATAAGACTAAAAAATTATTTGTCCCCCCCGCTGCCCCTTAAACTTCATTGTTCTAGACTAATCAAAAAAGCTTCATTGTTTTAGTTCTGCAAAACTAAATTGTACGTTGTTTATAGAAAATTAAAATATAAAAAAATAATATAAAAAAACTCACTACACCCACATGATATGTATACTTGTATGTTGCAGTTATGATTAGAAAATCATCAGTTTAGAATTGTACAAAATCAAATGCATAATAAATCTAAAACTCATTAAATTCTTAACTGTTAATTTTCAATTAATGTATGTTATTACACTAAAATTTAAACTATTAACTTTTAATTAATGATTATTACTATTACATCTTATATTGCAATTTACTCGCATTTTTTTACACTCTTCAGAGATAGATATGCATATAAAAGAGAATTCATGAATGACAAAGGATACTACGCTGCCATTACTGTTCCAGCAATACAATAACATGAAACCAAAAGGCGATGGTAATAAAAACGAAGTGGTGAAAGATTCCATTAAAACAAGAGAGCAATGGTCGCCTTTGAGGCTGTGTCTGGTTAGTTAATCATTGGCTGTCCATATGTCATCGTCATCTCCATCATTGTAAATGCTCTCTGCCATTTGCCATATATGGAAAGAATTGTCCTCAGCTACACTTGTGATAACCCATGGCAGGTTTTTGTTCCATGAAAAATCTGATATTTTTCCTTTGTGACCCCCGTGAGAGAAGAGTAGTTCGGGAGGCCCACCGTCACCATCTCCCTCTATCTGCTCATCACCAATCCTGAGACATCAACGTAACGCGTTAAGGCCACACTTCAACTCATTATGTCGATAATTATTATTTATTCATTGTGCAAATAAACAGGCACAATCATAATTTTAAATGACTTTAAATCTTAATACAATACATGATTAATTGCTGCGATTTCATACTCATTAATATGAACCACACATTTGTTATTTTTTTAATTTTTAATTTTTTACTTTACACCAATTTTCATAAAGGAAAACAAAAAGGTAATATAAACCTATATTGTTAAATAAGGAAAAATTAAAGGAATGTTTCTAAACATTTATTTATTGATTATTCTATTGTTTTATTTGTTATTCACTCATTAGGCTGTTTCAATACAAACAATATCATATCATTGATATTGTTATAAATCATACATTCAACAATTTGTCTATATATATTTTATATTATGATCGATGTAATAACCTTGAGCATAACGCTACCTACAGTACTAGATCAACTAATCGCAACAAATGTCGGGGAAGGAAAATAAACAAAGTATTCCGGAGGAGTCTGCAGTCTGCACATACCTGTTAAGATCCCAAACCATCAGCCGTCTGTCAGCCCCAGAAGATGCCAACACAGTTTCATGATTAGGATCCCACTCTACCTGGAATACTTCATCTCTATACACATTACAAACAAACCAATTCAGTGAGTACCAAAAAAATAATGAAAATTTCAAAGCTAATGACTAATCAGTCATCACATTGAAAAATTGGAAAAGTATCAACAGGAATAATTATTTGACCAATGGACCAAGCCATTGTTAATTTGTGGTAACAGTAGTAGTATTAAGGAAAACACACAGTATGACAAAAAAATGACGTACGTATGACTACTTAAAACATGTAGTGGCTCTGCCAGCTTCCGTGTATCAAAGAGACCAACGATTGTATCTGAAGATGCTGTAGCCAAAATCCATTCATTATATGGATTGAACGAAATAAAGTTTACCTGATTCAATAAGAAAGCAGAGACAATATAGAATTGTCAGTGCAAAAACAGAGTGTGCATATACAGTAAAGCAACTTCTCACAGACGAATACAAAGATCACTCAATGTTGATCCTTCAGCCATTTCATAATAAGATATGTAGTAGATCTGTTTTGCATACTTGATATACAAGAGACCCTGCAAGGATTACGAAGCAACAACGTTACCTCTTTTTCATGTGATTTAACCGAGTGCTGGGGTTTGCATGTCCGCAGATCCCAAATGACCAGTTTACAGTCATCTCCAACAGACCCAAACATATTTTCATCCTTCAAATTCCAGGACACATCTTCAACCACACTCTCATGACCCTGACAAGACAACCCAAAGCCCAATTCAATCATCAAAGAAGCAACCAAGCAAGCAAAAAGACCAACACAACACACCAAGTATTAAAAATTATCAACCGGCACTATTTCCCAAATTCCCAACATTACCTCATAAACATGAAGCGCGTCAAGCACATTCTCTTTAGATGCAGCATGCACGTCCCACAAGCAAACCTTATGATCATGCGATCCACTTAAAAGATACCCGTTCTTAAAAGGGCTCCAAGACAAACCATAACCCTCTTTATCGTGGCCCCTCAACCTCAAATCAGGGTCACACTCGCTCCCATATTGCTTCGTAAAATCAAACACATAAACCTCAGAATTACACGTCTTAGCAGCAACAGTGCTAGGGTTCTGCGGCATGCAACGTGCTCGATTTACCTCCCCGTCAACAGGAACCCTTTGGGAAATCTCCACCTACAAAAAATAACAAACAATACCAAGAAATAAATTATAAATTTAATTTAACCTTATAAAATTGATTTATAAAACTATGATTGTCTCTCACTTATATACACTATATTGAATTTATTATTAGTGGATATGAGATATTCAACACACTCCCTTAAGAGAGATAAATTATTAAATAGTCTAAAACTAATAAGTGTCCATAATCCTAACAAATCAATATATAATATGTATTTAAGTTTTTCAAGTTATAAGAAAAATCTTAATAACACTTTGATTACATGTTATGTAGAGACTAGTTAGGGATCATCTAATCTAAAACTACCTAATAATTCCTCCTCATGAATGGTCTTATGATGGCATAACAGGAAGTGACATGACAAACCCAACAACATTCAATAATAGCTGGGATAAACTATGATAGCATCTTGGAATTTAAGTCAACCTTAACACCAGACAATATTAGACCACCAACAAGTGAAAACACTGAGGACTTTCATCGAACAGTTGGCATGCACAAGGAAAGAGAAGCAAAAATGGGGGTTAGAGAAACGCAAACCTTGGGAAGAACGGGGTTGTCAGGGTCGTCGAATACGATGGGTTTGGACGTGTCCGCGGGGAGTGAAGCGTGGACGAGCATGAGGAAGTTGGGTTCGCCTTGGGCAGTGTGAGTGGCGAGGAGGAGTTTGTGGAGATTGAAGGAAGGGTGAGAGTGGGGTTGGGTAGAGGAAGGAACCCATTGTACGGTGAGAGAAGGCCATTGAAGAGGGTGAGAAATGAAGAGATCGTACAACAGAGGAGTGTTCTTCTTCCAAACGGAGAACTCTTCCTCCACCTCAACTTCACCCTCTTCGTACTCTTCCGCCATTTTTTCTGCGCCAAAACTTCAAACCCTCGCGCGCCAATCCCTCTGTTCTGTCCGAGGGAAACGCGCTTTTAATACTGCAACTGTACTCCCGGGCTGGGCTTCGCCTCTGACTGGGCTGGGCTGCGTTGGGCCGTCACCTAATGAACCTATTAAGTTCTTAAATTCATTTTTTCAATATACAAACCATATCTAGCTAATACATAAATGTAGAGCTTCGTTAGAATTTTTGGATAAATTATTTTATTATTTTTATTTTTAGGTGAATAATTAAAACTTCGAGAAAAGTATAAACGAAACTAATTTTATTTTAACGGAATATTTATTTGATTAACATATAATTCAATTAACAAGAAAAGACATAACGACATATTTGCACCGTATCTTTTTAGTTTTTATATTTTATCTTCAAATCATTTTCATTATTGATTTCATTGAATTTTTTGCCAACACAACATGATTATCATGGAAAGTAATCAATTATGTTAAGTAAATTGATTCAGAACAGACACGTGTTAAGATAACGATCGAGAGCACATCGAATGTTTTCCTAACAAAATTATACTTAGAATAGCAAATAATAAATTCCGAGGGAGGATTATTGGAAGATGATTATTACTTACAGTTGTTAAAATTTGCTGAAGTTGGATCTGGAATGTAATTTACTTTTCTCGTTCTTGAATCATGAGAGTGGGGGAGAGGGTCTTTTCACGAAGGGAATAAAAAGCAAAAGCAAACAACAGTATAGAAAAACGACTACTACACTCTAGATTGATGGATTCTGGACTATTCCTTACTCTTACAATAATGATTTCAGGATGACTTTGGAGAAACATATATAATATAATTTTTTTCATCAGGAAAAAGCTTATCTTACCCTAAATATTGCGATTCTTAAAGATAATTATTAAATTGAGAGTCTGTTTAATACATATATATCATTTCAATAAATATTTTTGTAATTATTTTACGTACTAGTTTAGATATACATATTTAATGAAAGTGTGTTTGATAAATATTTGATAAAAGATCATAAAAATATATATGGCATATAAACATTTTTTTATATGTAATTTGACATTAATAAACTAATTTTATAATTGATTTTACTCAACGCTACTAATTTTGCAAACTAGTTTAATAATGCTACTAATTTTGCAAACTAGTTTAATAATGGTGTTCAGTTAAAAAGTAGTTTTTCAATTGTAAACTAAATATCAGTTAATCTAGATAAAACTTAAAAGTTCACTATAAGAGTTAAGTCAACCGTTCACATAAATATCAGTTAATCTAGATAAAACTTAAATATCAGTCAATTGTAAACCAAATATAAATGAAGAATTCTCAAGTTCAAATTCTTAAATAAAATGTAGATTAAGCAATTTAGTTCATATTAAGTCAACCGTTCACTTACTATATGGAAATGGTTTATTTTAAGAGTTAATTACCTTTTTAAGAGTTAATTACCTATATTAATATATACTGTACTGACAATCAATTATTCAATTTTTAATAATTATGTCATGTCAATGTAAATATATTTATTTTTATAAATAATATAACATAATTAAAATATATAATTAATTATTTATATAAAAATAAAAGTGATTAACTCTTATTTTAATCCAGTTTTAATAACGCAATATTGTTTTTAACAGACGTAGAAATTAACCCACTCGTAACTGGCATATAAGATAAGAGAGGTTAAATGTCTTTTTCAAACACACTATCGGCCATGTAATCATTCAGCCTTAATCATGATGAGGTTAATTGATAAGAACTTTCCACCTTCATATTATTCATTGTTTGAACTCTTGTGCACCTAACTTTTAGTATCCAATTAATATTCATCCTGGTTTATCAGATTTTTTTTTTTTTTTTCTCTCTCATAAAAGTTGCTAGCAGTGGAGAAAAACACAGTACTAGTAATTATGAAATTATATTGATTGATAAAAGTAGAAGCATTGAGAATCTAAACAGGACTTTAATATACATAAGATGGAGGATGATGATGAGGTGATGAGGAGATGAGGATCACATAAGGACACATGCGGCGGGGTTTTCGTCGCTGAAGGCGGTGGTGTATCTGACCTCAGCGGAGCTGGCACGTGCGAGGTTGGAGACGCGAGGGTCGACCTCAGCGTTTCGAACGTAACCAGAGGGAGCTTTCTTGTCGTAGACGCCGGGGGCGTAGGGGTGGGCGACGACGTCGTAGGGGACGTAAGGCCATAGCTCGGCCCTCTTGGCGGTGCGGTGAGCGATGCGTGAGACGACCTTGGAGGGTTCAACGTAGCCGGAGACAGTTACCTTGCTGGCTTTGCGATCCACCTCCACTTGGCTGACCCCCTTCATCCCCTCCACCGCTTTCTTCACCTTTCTCTCGCACCCTTCGCAGTCCATCTTCACTTTCACCTCCACCGTCTGGAACTGCTTTCTCTTCTTCTTCAGCTTGGAGCTCGTGTTGGAGCAGTCAAACAGCTCTGAGATGTGATCTAGGGCACCCATTTCTCTTTCTCTTTCTCTTTCAACCTTGGATATTCTACTACGTTACCTCCCTTCATATCTATTATCTATTATCTATTATTTATAGCCAACACCAACTCTTGTCGCTACAAACACATGATCCAAATAAAAAACTAAATCACGTCGGTTGCTTTTGTCTTCTTGCCACGTGTCCACCACTTAATTCGACAGACAGCTAACACTGTATGGGGTGGCAATGCACTGGCTCACAATCACAAGTATGGCTAACCATTCCATCCTTTTCATGTAACACTTGTCACAATTACTAATTAACAAAATATATATGTTTCCACAAAATTAAACAAGACAAAATCTTATCCACTTTTATTTTACACTACATCCTTATACTTATAACTATAAGTATGCTGTGTTCAACTAGGAAAAAACACATAAGAGTGTCTTTAGATATATTTTTAAATTACGTTTCTAAGTAGATTAATAGGATAATTCTCAATGCATCCTAACACGCACTTTCTGTTTTTTTGCTATTCTAGACAAATAATAAATGTTAAAAATGCATTAATTTTAAGGATTTTAATACAATCTTTATTATTAATTAGAATTAAGATTGACCAAATTGACAAATACATACATATAGTAGTTAAATAACTTCCTAACTCGTAAATTTTTTATTAATTACAGAAAAGTGTGTTAAAAATGTTGAATATTTATTATTAATATTTTTCTTGTCGATAAGATGAATTTGCTACAAAAAGCGAGAGAAATAAAGGAAGTTCTGTTTAAAATATTTGCTTTGTTTGGTGGCAGAAGATAAATGATGTGAGAGGAAAAAAACAATAGAACAAAAACACATGTCAAGGGAAAAGAAAAGAAAAGAAAAGGTAATCTACGTGATTAACGGAGTTAATTGAAGGCATTAGGCATATACATAAAATTATTTTCTTAATGTTTCATTCTGTACAGGTTAGTCTATTTAAAAATGCTCCTTATTTTAAAATTTTCTTTTTCTTTCCTGTGCATCTCACATTTGCAGTTAGTCACTGTCCCCATTTGTTTGATATATTTTATTTTATTCACACTTAACTCTGGGAAACTTAATAAATGCTTCATATGCGTAGCAGTATTTTAATATTTGTTCCTCACCGACCTTTATATATATATATATATATAATTTATTGAATAACGTAATTATAAAAAAATAAAAATACCAATACATTGCTTTATTGGAATCTTTTGATCAGAAACAAAAACAAACTAGCAAACTAAACGTCAAAAAATAGATTCGCTGAGACCACTTAAGTAAACCACTAAACAATTTATTAATTTATTTTGCTCAATGTATATTATATATTACTATAGATTTAAAATATTCCATAGCGTATCTTAAAAAAGAAATCACAAAGTGTGAACATATGACTAGATTATGTGATATGTAAAAGTGCAATAAGTTCAGGACAGTTGTTTATTAAATAATGGTATCAAAATTTTGTCTATGACGTGATGGACATGAGGTGAGGACTGAGTGGGGCATAATGTAGACACATCACACATGCATTTACTTTTATAAAAAGAAAAAACACATTATCCCTTGACTTGTCATTATTAGAGACCATATATGTTACAATTATAGAGTCGTCTTAAAGTTTTAATCTTTGACAAATACATGAAGTTTTTGTTTAACAAAAATATAGTCACAAGGATGCAAATAATGCGTCAGAATTGATTATTGTAGAAGTACGGTTAGAAGAGTCTTTTCGTTTTGCTGCTTGATAGCCTTTCACTTTTATGTTGGATCTAACAGTATGATATTGAATAAGAAACTCAAGGCCCAAAGAGCAATTGTTTGGGTACACGATATGTAACTAACATTACTTTTTGGCTCAGGATACATACACTTTTTTTTTTTTTTTTTTTTTTTTTAAGTATACCTCCTTTATATTTTTTTAAAAATTATAAAATATTTTAGTTTTTTTTTTAATTTTCTATTTTTACACCTTTAATTTTCAATTTGCTACTTTCTTCTTCTTTTTCACACATTTGCACTTTTAGTTTTTACATGCTACCAAAATAGGTAGGGTGAAGGAAAGATAAGGGAGTACATATAAAAATTGAAAAAAGGAGAAAAGATGTGTGAAAAAAAATACTAAATTAAATATTATGAATGTAAAATTAAAAAATTAAAAATTAAAAATTAAAAATTAAAAATATTTTAAAATTTTAATTTTTTTTAGGTGTACTTATAGAAAAAAGGAGGTGTATATATCATGAACCTTACTTTTTTGCTTTAAGCTCATGTTAGTGGGCCTCAATCTTATAAGTCTGAGATTAGAAGGCTTTTGCAATCACGTAAACTCAAACCCAGTGTACAGTACCAAGGTGCCACCACAACATTTGAATTTTGAATTGGAAGTTCTACATCACTACATGGATGAATTGGTGTTCATCTGACCCCAAAAAAAAAAAAGGAATTAATGTATTACATAATAATTTGGGGTTGAATTTAGATAGTGGGGATAATAATTACTTATATATTTATTGTATTAAAATTTTTACATATAACTTTTAAAAGTATAAATATATATCATAATTATTTTTTACAAGCTTTTATATCTATGATTACGATTAAGGATGAAAATAATAGTTAGGTCAAACTATGTTATATAATAATTTAATAGCTTTGAACTTAACTTTTTTTTTTTAAATACATGTCCTAAATATGACTTATTTATCTATCATAGATATTTTTTAAATGTTTGATTAGAACTACAATCCTAAAAATATACTTTATAATAATTTAATACTAATAAAAACATAAAAATAAATATGTTAAATTGTATAAAAATCAAGTTTAATTTATTTATAATATAAACATGTTTTTAATATCTAATATAATATTTTAGATGATAATTTATTTCAAAAACATATTTTATAATAAAAATTCTAAATAAAATATAAATCTTTCAATCTTTCTCATTTTGATTTTTTTTAATCAACATATATAATCTTATAACCTTTACTATTTTGATTTTTTTAATCAATGTATACATAAATAAAAAGCACAAAAGGTAAATATATATGTTGCAAATTTTATTTTATCAAAAATTAAACTTTTTGAAAAAATTAATTTGTTATTAATGAGTATTTTTTTTATCACATATGAAAATTAATCTCTTTTACAAGTTTAATAAATATCAATGAACAAATTTTTAAAATTTATATTTTATACATGTGATAATTTAAATATATATTTATTTTATTATACTATAACTTTTATTTTTTAAATATATTATTTTTTGAATAAAAAAATATGTGTGTAAAATAGTAGATGCCCCTAGGCCTGGGCAAAAACTTCCGGCCGATCCGAAACCGGCCAAACCGACGATCAGATCGGGTGAAGCGGATTAATTCTCAGGTACCTCGGATTTTTTCTGAAGCAAATTTCGGGTTCAAACGGGTTTTAACGGTCGGATTCGGTGTTAGAATTTTCTCATCCGATGCACCCGAATCCGACCGTTCCTCAACACCGTTTATTTTCTCCGTCTCTTTTACTTCGTCTTCTTTCTTCTTCTTCTTCACTCCGTCTTCTTTCTTCTGCTTCTTTCTTCTTCTTCACAATGTCTTCTTTCTTCTTCTTTTTCACTCCGTAAACATCCTCTTTTCTTCAACTTATTCCTGCCATGGCTACCGCCACTAAGAAGCTCTCTGTTCTGGTTGATGAAAGTGGTGATGTGGAGATCTGAAACTCCATGATTTCCCCCAAATGAAGCAGTAATAGAGACCGGCAAAGAGTGACGAAGGATGGCGGCACGAGATGCTAGAGGAAGCTTCTCAAACCGATGAATCCATCCGATGAACCCGTAACCCGCACGGATTGAACCCGCTAAAATCCGAGTTCTTCGTCGGTCGAAAATGGCTCCTGATTTTTCTTAATCGGTTTCGGATGATTTTAAGAATTTTGGTCCGAGACCGACCGTGGCCGACCGATGCTCAGGCCTAGATGCCCCCACTCTCTTCTACATGCATCTATCATTGGTTGAGTGTGTGGATAACGGGATACATTAACCATAATTAAAAATTATTGTTGAATATAAATTTAAATATATTTTTAAGTCTTTAAATATATCATAAATTCAATTTTGATTTCTTAAGTTTAAAATTAATTTTTTAGTTATTGATATATATATATATATATATATATCAATCACTTTACTCTAAAATCTCGTGTTAACATAACACATTGGTAACTAAATAGAAGAAATTGTTATATATGATCCAAAACTATATTATGATATCGATAATCCACATGAGACATAATTAAGTTTTATTGTTTGTTTCTAGCAAACTAAAATTTCAGGTAGCTACGTTTTACGTTGAAACTGACTATAGACATGTAATAATATTAAATATATATATATTATTCTACTACTTTTGTCCAAATTTTGTGAATGAATATGCAACACAAAACTCTTCTACTATTAAGTCCTTGTTACTAACTATTATCTTTGTTTGTAAAAAGATTACTATCAAACTAATCTAATATTGTTTAATTAACTCAATTTGTCTGACTTATTACTGATGTTGCAAGTAGTCCTAATAGATTGAAATAAATTTTTTTAAATTACAAAACTAACATAATTTAATTTAAATTTGGAGAAAAAGAAAACTTCAAATTTGATAGACAAAAAATATATATAAATCTTGAATATATTAATATGTAGTAAAATTTTATTCCAAGCTACATTGCGTTTCATGTCCATATAAACACGGGAATACAAGTTTTTTCCACTCAAATATTTATCTTCGTTTATTCTTAGATCCGCTTATTTAGTTATGTTGATTCACAAAATCTATTTACACCTGCTTATTTAGTTAACCTGTTTATATTTTTATACATTTGTATTACAATTTTAAATTTAATTAATATACGAAGATACTCAAATCAGTATATTCTTTTTTAAAAAAATACTGGTTTGTGTTCAGAAATGATTCCTGGCTACATTCGCTTCATATCCATATATATAAACACGAGAATAAAAAAAAATCGCTCAAAAAAATGTCATCGTTTATTTTTATAGACCTATTTATTTAGTTAT